GTTTATCTGGCTCTTCAATTTATTTCTTCTCAAAGGTTGAAAAAATGGATAATATATTCAGATTCAAAAAGTGTTATAGTTGCCTTACAAAATAAAGAACTGAATACACATTCTATTATAAATAATATTTTAAACCTATACAGCAATTTACTCCTAAAAGAATATGCCATAATTTTCTGTTGGGTGCCAGGCCATGCTGGCATTTCGGGTAATGAAGCAGCAGATAAAGTGGCTAAGTCAACAAACAATGTAACAAACAACCCCCTTACCTACACAGATATCAAAAATGCAATTGACAATGAACAGTATTTACACTGGCAAAATGATTGGGAAAATGAAATAAATAATAAATTGCACGACATTAAACCTTCTATTAAATCTTATAAAAGTCTAAACATTAGTCGAAAGCAGGAAGTAATATTAAATCGCTTGCGCATTGGCCACTCTCGATTAACCCATAAACATCTTTTATTAAACGAAACTGCACCTGAATGTTCTCATTGTAGAGAACAGCTCACTATTAAACATATTTTAACAAAGTGTAACGAATTTAAAACACAGAGACAACGCCACTTTGGTTGCTTTAATCCAACATTGACTTTATTAATTGGAGATAAACCCCACAATAACATTTTTAATTATCTAAGGGACATTGGTTTTTACAAATCAATTTAGCTTTAACTTATAGCAGAATGTTTCTTATAAAACAAGTTGTAGGTGCGGTATGGCCAAAAATGGCTTTTGCGCCAATAATACTTAATTAACTATCAAAGTGAAACTTTTCTAATTGGCTCAAAACGCTCATACTATCGGAGTATATAAAAAACTTCCGAGTAGAGCGTGTAGAAATTAGTTGTAATGCTAATAAAATAGCAACAGCTTCAGCAGTGAAGACGGAGCAAATTTCAGAAATTTTGTAGAGGTACGTAACATCAGCAATGATGACACCACAACCGACATATCCAGGAGATTTTGAGCCATCAGTATATATCGGAACGTAATGAGAAAACTGATGACGATGAGAAAGGAAAAGTTGTTGAAATATGGTTGGTGGTACTAGTGATTTTTTAAACACATCAAATAGAGAATAAAAAGGATGTGGTGAAACAGTCTAGGGTGAAATAAGTAGGTGGTCTATCGATTGTGATGGTGAATCTAAAATAGCAAATGTTTGAATGTGAGAACGCATATGAGTTATAAAAGGGCGAACATGAGAAGGTCATGCATCATATATGCGCAGTAAACTTATTGGAGCAACCTCACGTTGTACGGGGTGTGAGGCTGAAGACATGATACGGTAGTAGTGCGTCAAGGACAGTTGCATTCTGCGTAGATCCAGTGGCAGTTGATGGCAAACAGCATACAAGCTTTCCACAGGTGAAGTTCGAAAAGGCACCGCTACAAATGCGTAATGCAGTGTGATGTACCGTGTCAAGGCGAAGCAGAAGCAGTACCATAAACTGTGCATGCATAGTCAATGCGAGACTGTATAAGTACTTGGTAAATTCTCAATAGCGTGGTGCTTTTTTTTATTTTGTTGGATCCCCAGCCATGTTGGTATTTCAGGTAATGACATGGCTGACTCTGCTGCCCGTTCTGCTACGACTGCATTAACACTATCAGTCCCCATTTCTGACATGAAGAATTATATACGACAGTTTACTAGTTCTTTGTGGCAGCAACACTGGGATTTACAAATTGAAAACAAACTGCACACAATTAAATCCACGCTAGATCCTTGGTGTCAGATGCATCGTAAAACTCTTACTAATTTTTTATAAACCTTTATTACAATATTTACAAGTTATAAAAAGTGATCCACATCTATTCTTAACAATCTCTATGAAAACATAAACTGATAAACTGTTGCCATTCGAATTCATATAAGTATTAAACTAATGAATAAAATATTACAGATTATGAACGATGACGTCATTACAAAATCTTTACGCGACATCCTCCCACCTTGATTAAATATTATTTAATCAACTAGAACATTTCTTAAAAATGCATAAACAAGCAATAAATATAAATTTTAACTACATATAAAATTACTAACTGCATTATATACTATATCTAAGAGTAAAAAAAACATTTCCAAAATAAGCATTGAAACACTAATACGTAAGCTTAAAATTAAATGTACTATACTTAATAATAATACTATACTTAAAAATAAATACCTAATGTTTTCTTTCAGTCATCTGAATATCTAATAGGTTTCTTAATCACCCGACCACTTCTGGTCGTAATATCTTTTACTAGTTTATCAGCTAAAAGTGAATTTTGTGTCTCTGATTGTTTAATAGTAGATTCGCCACCAGAACTTATTTCCATCGGATAAAGGCGTTGGACAGGTCTCAGCAATTCTCAAGAAGATGTCTTAAATTTCACTACTCGAACCTTTCCATCTTTACCAGGATAAACTTCCATCACTTTAGCCAGTGGCCACAGAGTTCTTTTTATGGAGTCATTTTCGATAATAACGACGTCTCCAATGCTTAGTTGAAAACAATTTGGCCTCTCTTTACTTTGCTTTAACAGTCCGAGATATTCAATTCTGAATCTTTTCTTAAGTTGTAGTCTAAGAGCTTGCTGAAATCTCCATCTTTTCTTCAAATCCATTTGATCAATATCGGGTACTCCCACCGATCGCATTTCTTGTAAGAACATTGCCGGTGTCAGTGGCATCAAATCTTCTCTATCTTCGGAAAGATAAGATAAAGGCCTTGAATTAATTACTGCCTCGCATTCACAGAGAAGGCTCATTAACTCTTCATAATTAAGTGAGGCATTTCCCAAAACTCTTCGCAAGAGTTTTTTGACCATTTGTACCATGCGTTCCCAAAAACCCCCCTACCAGGCGGCGGAGGGCGGGATAAATTTCCACACAATTCTTTTAACTGTTGTTTCTGATTCGACGACACTCCAATCAATGCTTCGGAAAAGGTTTTCCGCTCCTACAAAATTTGTACCGTTGTCACTATATACAACACTTGGTCGTCCTCGACGAGCGATGAATCTTCTTAAACAGAGTAAGAAGTCTTTGGTAGACAACGAACTGACCAATTCTAAGTGTACAGCTCTGAACACCGCACACGTGAAAAGCACAAGCCAGCTCTTTTGCCCACCTTTCAATATCAAAGGACCAGCCAAGTCTACTCCTACAATTTCTAAAACTGAAGCGTTCTTGACACGATCTTCTGGTAAGGAAATTGGAGCGGTTTCAACAGGCTTCACTGTGCGCCTTCTGCACTTTATACACTTATTAATTACGTGGCGAACAGATCGTCTTCCACCTAGAACCCAAAATTTCTCCCTTAAGTTAGACAGAACAGTTTGTAATCCAGCATGCATAAGTTCCAAATGGTTTTCTCGAATCAATACTTCTACAAATTTGTGTTTACTCGGAAGAAGATAAGGGTATCTAAACAAATCAGTATCTTTCCTGTCAATTAATTTCGTCTTTACTCTATTAATTCCATTTTCATCTGTAAAAACGTTTAAAGTCTTCAAACTATTGATAAATTGCGGAGTAAATACTTCTCCTTGCATTCTTTTTATCGAAACTCTTTCAGCTTCATCTAATTCCTTTACTGATAATTCTCCCTTTCGAAAATTGGTTTTGTCTCTTGAGTTATGAATAAATCTTAATATCCATGACATCATGCGTATAATTCTGGTATAAGTTGAGAAGTAATATAGGAAATCTTCACTGTTTTCGATAAGTAAAAGTGTTGAACAGTTGTGTATTTCTAGGCGTACTTCTTCCTCATTTGTCCTCATCTCTGTACTTGGCCAACTTCCAACCGGCGTTCTGGGCCAGTGTGGCCCCTCCCACCATCTAGATTTTATAAGCTTTTCCACAGAGCACCCCCGGGAAGGTAGATCTGCTGGGTTGTAATCACCTGGAATGTGTCTCCAGCTCTCCTTTGTGGATGTCTTAAGGATTTCCTTGACCCTGTTCCTCACAAACACACCCCAGGACTCTTTCCTTTGAATCCACTGCAACGCAGTAGTTGAGTCCGTCCAAAAGAATTGCTTAAGGTTTATTTTCAAACTTCTCCGTACTAAATCAGCCAAACGTGTGGCAATACAGCAGGCTAAAAGCTCTAACCTGGATATAGAAATCTTCTTTAATGGTGCCACTCTGGATTTAGCCATCAATAATTGTACCGAAGTATTTTCATCTGTCTCACATCTCAAGTAAACTACAGCAGCGTAAGATAAACCACTTGCATCGCAAAAGGTATGTAATTCTGACTCCAGATAATTATCAGGAAACACTTGTCTTTTTATTTTTAAATCTTTTAGTTTCCTCATTTCTCCAATCCAATTTAGAACTATGAGTTTTGTATCTTCACAAACCTCAGTATCCCATCCTAATTCAGACCTCCAGCTCTCTTGTAATAGTAACATAGGATACAACGTAGCTAGACATGAAAATCCAAGCGGATCAAATACTTGCTGAGCCATGGAAAGAATGGACCTTCTAGTTATCTTTTCTGGATGGTTTGAAATGGATTGAGTATCGCAAAGAATAACGTCTTCGTTCTTGTCCCATAGTAAACCTAAAACTTGTGATGGGACCATAGGAACACTTAAGCGTTTAACAGCAGAATATTCCCATCCTCTCAACTCTAACTTTCCTTTGGCCATGATCTCTGTAGACACTTTTACAAATCTTTGTAATTCATTTTCAGAATTAACTGAAGTAACACAGTTATCTACATAGTAAGCAGATTTAAGTGTCTCTGAAACATCTTGATATGGAGAAAATGCAAATGAATCTAAATGATGTCTTAAAACAGCACCCAGCAAAAGCGGACTACAATTAAGTCCAAAAACAACTCTGCAATGTTGGTATACCTTAATAGATTTTTTTCTTCATCTCCCCACCATAAGAATTTCAAATACTTGCGATCCTCTTCTGCTACTGAAATTTGCAAAAGCGCCTTCTTAATGTCAGCAACAACTCCAATTTTTTTCTGTCTGAATCTAAGAAGAGCAGTTGGGATGTCTTTGAGCAAATTTGGACATTTCATTAAGCAGTCATTTAACGAAATATTTCCCTTCGACTTGCACGAGGCGTCAAAAGCGGGTCTAACAGGTGTTGTAGGGGAAGTTGGTTTGAACACTGCATGATGCATACCCTCCAACTGCTACGGAATTTCCGTAGTTTCAGAAATCTTCTTTTCTGACGGTAGCAAAATTAATGTCTTAATATTTAAAAAATTATTTTAGCGTAACTTGTCTACTATTACTTATAAAAGTGCAGGCCATATGGCTAGATTCTTAAGTTCTGATAAAAGTTTTATGAGAGATCCATTTGCTTTAAAAATTTCTACTTTGGTTCGCTACCACTAGAAAGAATTATTTTCAAAATCCTCATAAGTTGGAGGGTATGCATGATGTGGCAAATAGTGACCTGGCCCTTCTGAACATTCATCAATTATTCCGCATTGCAGCCATTCCTGGAACACAGCATTATAATCTTTTATCTTTCCAGCTTTACTGAGTCTCCAAGAAGTGGACAATAATCGTTTTTCTGCAAGTTCGCGGTTGCTTAGTAATTCGTCGGGACTTTGCATCCAAGGAAAACTAATTTCATAGCGCCCATCTTCAGTAATCTTTAGAGTCTTTTCAAAATGATTTAAGGCTACTTTTTCCTATAACTCTGTGTTCATACTTTCACAAGGATCTGCAACTCCTATCGCTTCCAGTTTCCAAAGATTTTCTATACTATGACTTTGTAAAAATAGCGATGTTATAGTGTTGTCTTTGCAATTATGATTTTCAAAGCTTCCCATGATAGTCCAACCTAAGTGCGTCTGCACAGCAACAAGACCACATTTTAAAATTTGCGTTTGACCTGTACACAATTTGCCTGCAATATCTGCTACAATTAGGAGCTCAATAGGAGGTCTACCTTTACCACGGTCTGTTATCTAGATTCCCAAGTCATCTAACTCTTTCGAACAAGATACATCATTTGTTCTTGGTATTATTCCACAAATGGTTGGTTGATCTAAGACTTGTATCTCGCAAAATTTGTTTGCATGAACACTGCTTACATTTAATTTATTGGTATTGTGTTTAGATCTTGTCATATAGCCACCCAACACTACATGATTCAGAGTTTCAAATCCTGCAGGTTTTAATTTCATTCGTTCAACTGTGGATTTTAATACATAAGAGCGTTGTGAGCCAGTACCGATTAAAGCTCTAACGACGCTACGTTTTCCCCCATGATTTATCACAACAAGCAAAGTCTGCAACAAAACTTCTTCTGAAACATTGTGATTGGCTAAAGCAAGATTTTGCGGCACTTCTTGACTTTCTTGAATCGCCACTTTCTGACATGGCGATAAATTAGGACATATTATTACCCAGTGTCTCTTTCCGGAAACCATGCAGCGTACAGTTAATCTGCAGTTTCTAGATAAATGCCCTGGCTTCAAACCAAAAAAACAGCATTTATATTTTCTGACTGCTTCTCGCTTTTCTTCTAATGACAGTTTTTGTCCCTTAAAACAGTCTTTACTTTCATGTAATTTGTTACAAAATATACAGTTAAACTTTGTTTTTTCTTCAGACCCAGATATTAAATCATTGGCAGTAGGTGGATAAAATTCTGTTTCTCTGTGTTTTTGTCTCTTTTCAACTATTTCAGTTTGTTTAAAACCAGATTTTGCTAGAGCAATCCGCTCTTCACCCTCTACTTCCGTTCTTAGAAATGTTAACAGTTGAGCCAATTTATCGCTATAAGAATTCCCTTTTTTATTAATTAAAGGACCTCTAAGCCAAACTCGTAGATTGTAGATTTTCTTCGGGAATGCATGACTCCACTAAAGGGAATAGCATATCGGCATATTTGTCAGATGTCATGCCAATGGATTCCAACGATCGCAAATGGGATTCTAATTTGTCGTACAATTGTGTAATATCCATCTTATTCCTTAAATTTGTAGCATTTTTGACGACAAGAGCCAAAAGTTCCCGAACATAATATTCAGTTAAAAGTTCCTCTCGGCCAAACCTTGATTTCAAACTCTCAATAATTTTGCAATAATTATCGGCAGTCGGCGGGTAACTATCCTCCGGCGATCACGCATTGAATAAGATAATGAAATTTATCTTCATCGTCCATCGATTTATTTTCGTGTATTCTACTGAATTGGCTCCAAAAATGCAGCCAATCTTTTATCTCGCCACTGAAATGTACAAGTTCTATTTTCGGAAGCTTTAGTTTAGTTTTTTCATTTTTAACCGAATTATCTTTCTTATCTTTCAGTTCACGAGAATTAAGAATCCTTTTTTACAGGAATAGAATCTAACTTTTCTCTGTATTCTTCAATGATACAGTATTCTTTTTCAAAATCGTCTGCTTTGGCGAGTTCTGTCAAAATGGCGTTACATATATCTTCATCTAATTTCGATAAATCAATAGAAATTCTTTCCAAAGATGATAATTTACTTTCTAAATCTTCAAAATTTAATTCTGGTTTATCGAGAGCCGCAATTAAAATATTATATAAACGAGTAAAAGAAGCTCTTACCGACTTCCTTTTCACTATGAGCAGATCCATTTATAATTCCAAACTTGAAAAATTTTTACTGCAGAATGTTATGCTATTTTGCTCGCTCTTAATTTTATCTCTGACCAAACTTATCGCAAGTGGATAATTTATACTGACTCACTCAGTTTTATATCAAGTATTCCTCACATCGGGTGAAACCCTATGATTTGCAAAATTCAAAATTGCTTCACAGAATTGTGTGATGAAGGGTTCCACATCTACTTTTTGTTGGATACCATCACATGTTGGCATACACGGAAACAACCTTGCAGATATTACGGCTAAAACCACTCAAAATGTAAGCAATAACCTTATAACTTCTCTTGATTTCAAACGTATATATAAATTCACAATACGACAGGCTTGGAAAGAACATTGGTATAAACAAGCTAATAATAAACTGCACGAAATTTTACCTAATCTCGGCAACTTCAAAACAATACATATTGATCGCAAAACCCAGGTTATAATCAATAGACTGCGCATTGGTCATTCCCGTTTTACCCACATGCGCTTATTAAAATCTGAACCTGCACCTAGTTCTCTATGTCGTGCTGACATTACAATTAAACATATTTTAACAGACTGCGAACGATTCAAGCATTTGAGGAACAAACTTTTTGGCAGCTTTTATCCTGATCTTCAATCTTTACTTGGAGACCCTATACATCACAACCTTTTAAAGTTTATCAAAATTATAGGACTATATTCTCTGCCTTATAATAATACAGTAGTTTGACTTAGAAACCGACTTTCAACCTGGAGCCTGGCGCAGTATAGCCATTTCTTACTCTTGTGCATATAAAATTCAACTAACCAACCATCTTACTTTATCAACCTCATTACAGGATACTGTAATTCAAATTAACATCAATATTCTCCTCACAGTCTGCTCTGTCTATTTACCTCCTCAGGCACCCATAACTCAAACAAATTTAAATTTATCTTGTTTTATTCACTTAGTACTGTTTTATCAGTTTTAATTGTGCTGCAATTAGCATTTGCATGCACTTAGAGGTTCGAACTGTTTCACCATAATGTTTGGCGCAGCATGTCCTAATTTGGACCTTGTGCCACTAAACCCTACATTCAATCAATCAATCAATATCTCAAACAGATTTAAACTCACTTATACATCAGTTACCTTCGCCTTTTATTTTGTTCGGAGATTTTAATTGTCATAGTGAATTGTGGGGTAGTTCCGCCTCCAATGAAAGGGGGCGTAAAATTGAACAACTTATCCTGGACCATAATCTCTGTTTGCTTAATAACGGCGAAGAAACTTTCTTTCAAACACCTACTCGATCCTTTCACGCCATTGATTTAGCATCGTGTTCACTAATTCTCTTGCCTTTTATAAATTTTTCAGTTAGTAATTATCCTTATAGCAGCGATCATCTCCCTCTCAATTTCATATTCTGCATCTGTTCCCGTGAGCCGAAGACCATCAACTTTCATATTTTATCGCGCTAATTGGCCACAATTCGGACAGCTTGCTCAGATCACGGATGATATGGTAACATATGATACTATAAATACAGCTGCTGACCTGGTTACGTCAGTAATTCTCCAAGCGGCGGAAGATAGTATACCCAAGTCGTCAAGTTCGCTTCCTCGCCATCGCAAGCCGTGGTGGAATGAGGAATGTGCTGCTACTTATAAAAAGCAGAGTCGCTTGTGGAACATCTTCCGCCGTTACCCTAACACTGCCAACCTTTAAGCCTTTAAACGGGCTAAAGCAATATCAAAGTCAGGCGCAATTGTCAGAGAGATTCTTGGTGCCGTTACGTCTCTTCTATAACATCTACGACTTCTCCCATACAAGTTTGATCGAGAGTCAAAAGAGCTAACGGCATATACCGTGAATTTCACCTTCCGGTATTCAAACGAAACAGTACCATTTATTCATCTGCTATCGACGTCTGTAATATACTTGGTGAGACATTTGCTGCTGTCTCTAGTCTAGAGAGTTACAGTTGAGCATTTCAATACCATAAGCAGATTGCCGAACGAAATAACATCAACTTTGATAAGCGCCGTCTCTCCCACTATAACAGTAATTTTAATATTTTAGAATTACCGCGAGCACTTTATCAGTCTCATAATCAGTCTTTAGGGAGTCACGCCCCGGGGTACCCTAGTGATCTATCCTCCCTTCCGTTTCCTCTCCCTTTTCCCCTACTTTCTCTTCCCCCTTGTCGTGGTTGCCGAATTTACTGGTAAGGGCTTGTCATCTGTGTTCGATTACCACCCTGTTGTATCGAACCCACATGGGAAGAGACCACCCGCGTGTTTGCCGTGCGTGGAGACCCGTGTCCCTGGAAAAGGGGATCCTGGCAGTTGAGGGGCATCTTGGTACCCCAATACACTGCTTTGGCCCGTGTTTCAGGTAAACGGGTGGTGTATAATGGCCTGTGTGCATCAATCGGCTGGTCACAATCGTCATCTGTTGACTAGGGTCAAGACCGGGGTCACCTACTGGGCACTTCGTTAAGGGTGGAGGCTGCCTCAGGGGTGACTCAAGGTCGTATAACTATTGGTCAGCATCGGTGTTAAGCAACAGATTCCACTCTGTTACTTACATCCCCTTGGTTGGACTCCGTGGTGGGTGATGCCGCTGGTAGTCGAAATGATTTTTTAATTTTCTATGGCTGAAAGTAGCCAGGTGTTCAGTTCCGCACACCAAAACAAAAACAGCGGAACAATCTTCTCACCCTTTGAATACGCTTGATTCTACATCATAACGCTCACGAACCCTGAAGTACCCAACACTTCATTTACCAAAGTTTCGCCTTTTCTGATTCACAAGGCTCTTCTCTCAGTATTAAGAGAAGTAGCCTCGGTGAAAAAATTACGCTCGGGTGACCTTTTAGTTGAGGTCTCCCAGAAACAAGCTACTATTCTATCTAATTGTACCAACATATGCTCCTTCAATAAAACAGTATCGCCTCATAAGACTCTTAACACCTCTCGAGGTGTCATATCACAATCTGAATGCCTCGATGATGCAGAAGAAACAATTGTGGAAAATTTAACAGACCAACATGTTACTGCTGTCCGTAGGATCAGGATTAGGAGGGATGGGAAACTCATCCCAACGAAACATCTGATCCTTACTTTTGACGCACCGAAATTACCATCTTCGGTTAAGCTTGCCTGGCATAACTGCCCTGTACGACCATATGTGCCAAACCCATTAAGGTGCTTTCAGTGCCAAAGGTTTGGACACTCTAAAGTATCTTGTCGTAGCAGCCCATTTGTTCTCGATGCTCTGGATCTGACCATGATGACACTACCTGTGAGTTGCCACCCCTCTGCATTAACTGCAAGGGTGCTCACCCTGCCTACTCCAGGAGTTGTCCAAAATGGTCCCAAGAGAAAGAGATACGAAGTGTCAAAGTATTGCAAAACGTGACGTTCAATGAAGCCCGCCGTATAGTAACCGCCCGCACTCCTCGTCCGGGTGTGTCCTATTCTGCGGCTGCCAAGACTTCATTTTGCTCTGTCAGTACGTAAACGGACCTTCCACCTTTGCCCTCTACCTCTCATCACCAGACTAAAACTACAGTCCAAAAGCCAAAATTCAATTTTAATACACCATCAGCATCAAATAGAACAACATCTCCTCCTCCTAAGAAAACTTCTAAAATTGATAACGCAGAAAAAGTCCGACCATTCCCCAAACAGCTTCCATCAACAAAAATACCTCAAGCTAAAAAACCTGGCATAACTCGGAAGAAAAAAGACCCAAAATACGTCAATCAATCAACTTCTTCTTCTCAGAAGATGGATTTAGACGTAGAATTATCTCTTCATCCTTCCGACGATGAATTTTTACTAGACTAACCGAAAACTTTTGACGTTGAAAACGACAACTAAATTCATCCATTTCATAATGTCAATAAATTTTATTTCATGGAACTGCCGTGGCCTCAGAAACAAGGTCTCTGATATTAAAGATATCATCTCTAAATATCAACCTGCATGCTTTGCAGTGCAGGAAACTCTTCTAACGTCATCTAATAATTTTAAATTGCGCAACTATACTTGCTCCCGGCATGATTTCGATGGTGGAAATCATCCTCATGGCTGTGTTGCAATTTTAACATGTAATGCATTTCCATCTACTCATCTTACTTTATCAACCTCAATACAGGCTACCATAGTTCAAATTCACATCGATGTTCTCCTCACAGTTTGCTCTGTCTATCTACCTCCTCATACACATATTTCTCAAACAGATTTAAACTCACTGATAGTTCAATTACCTTCGCCTTTCATTTTGCTCGGAGATTTTAATGGTCATAGTGAATTATGGGGTAGTTCTGCCTCCAATGACCGGGGGCGTAAAATTGAACAACTCATCCATGACCACAGTCTCTGTTTGCTTAATCAAGGCGAAGAAACTTACTTTCATACTCCGACACGAACTTTTCATTCCATTGATTTAGCTTTATGTTCACCATCTCTCTTACCTTTTTTAAACTTTTCAGTAAGTAATGATCGTCATAACAGCGATCATTTCCCTCTCATAATTTCATATTCTGCTTCAGCTGCCATGAGCCCAAGGCCCTCAACTTTTATATACCATCGTGCTAATTGGTCTCTATTTGCTCAGATCACGGATGACATGGTCACACAAGATACTATAAGTGTAGCTGTTGATCGTGTTACGTCTGTAATTCTTGAAGCGGCAGAAGAAAGTATTCCTAAGTCGTCGAGTTCGCTTCCTCGCCACCGCAAGCCGTGGAGGAATGAGGATTGTGCAGCTGCTTATAAAGAGCAGAGACGCTTATGGAACATCTTCCGCCGCTACCCTAACACTGCCAACCTTTTAGCTTTTAAACGGGCTAAAGCAATGGCACGAAGGGTCCGGCGCAATAGTCAGAAAAATTCTTGGTCCCGTTACGTCTCTTCCATAACATCTTCGACTTCTCCCAGACAAGTCTGGTCGAGAGTCAAGAGAGCTAATGGCATATACCGTGAATCTCACCTTCCGGTATTCGAGAAAAATGGCACCACTTACTCTTCTCCTGCCGATGTCTGTAATATGCTTGGTGAGACATTTGCTGCTGTCTCTAGCTTAGAGAGCTACAGTCCAGCATTTCAACAACATAAGCAGATCGTCGAAAGGAATAAAATCAACTTTAATATTCGCCGCCTCTTCTCCTATAACAGCAATTTTAATTTTGTAGAATTGCAGCGAGCACTTTACCAGTCACGCAATACAAGCCCTGGTCCTGATGGCATCACATATCACATGCTCCGCCACTTAGATCGGACGTCGTTGTTGAATGTCCTCATTCTGTTCAATAGAATATGGACGGAACAAACGTACCCGTCAGGTTGGCGTGAAGCAAGTGTGATACCCATCTTAAAACCATGTAAAGACTCGAAAGACCCTGTTAACTATCGTCCTATAGCCGTGACCAGCTGTATTGGAAAAACATTTGAACGGATGGTTATCTCTCGCTTGGTATACTACCTTGAAAAAAATCCCCTTTTACCAGACTTCCAGAGTGGTTTTCGTAAGGGAGGATCCACGATTGATAACATCGTTGCTCTTGAGTCACGGATTCGTAACGCCTTTGTCCGACGTAACCATTTTGTCTCTATCTTCTTCGATATTGAGAAGGCTTACGATCGGACATGGCGATACGGAATTTTGAAGACACTTTACGACATGGGACTTCGCGGAAACTTACCCATCTTCCTCAAAAACTTTCTGTCGAAGCGGTATTTTTGAGTAAAACTGGGCACTACATTTTCCGATCTCTTCATTCAAGCTGAAGGCGTTCCACAAGGCAGTGTTTTAAGTGTCATACTTTTTATTACTCATGTTTCACTCATTTTGAACATACTACCACCTCATGTATTTGGCTCACTTTATGTTGTCGATCTAAATGTTTCATGTTCTGGCTCTGACATGAGCGTTATTGAGCGTCAACTTCATCTGGCCGTCAATAAGATTTCAAAATGGTGTGATCAAAATGGTCACACACTTTCACCCACAAAAAAGCTTCTTGCATACATTTTTGCCGATTGCGCAGATTACACAATGATCCTGTTATTTCCATTCATAACGTTAATATACCTATTGTGTCGGAGACAAAATATTTAGGTGTAATTTTTGACAGCAAACTCACTTTCCTGCCCCATATTCGTTATCTTAGAAAACGTTGTGATAAAACTTTAAATGTCCTACGTGTTCTCTCAAATACTTTCTGGGGTGCGGATCGCATCGCCCTAATCAGAATCTACAAAGCGTTGATATTATCACGCATTGATTATGCTTGCGCAATCTATGGCACTGCAACTGCGTCAAATTTGAAGCTGTTAAATACAGTGCAGCATATTGCAATGCGAATCTGTAGCGGCGCATTTCGAACGTCCCCTGTTGAAAGTTTCGATAGTATATGTAATTTATCATCTCTCTATTTTCGACGTATTCAGCTCTGTCTTACTTTCGTGTTATGTCATCTAAATCTCATCCTCTTCGACATGAGATTTTTCCACTAAGCTTACGACAATTATATGGTACGCGACCCTCGTACACACTTCCTTTTAATGCTCGTATGCGTACAGTTATTCAGACATTCAGTTTTTGCGAATCACCATCTCAATCAACCGATCACTTTCTTAACAAACCTTGGATTCTTCCATCATATCACTTTTATTCTCCATTTGCTTCATACAGAAAATGCAGTATATCTCCTAGCGTGTATATTCAGCTATTCATGTCTCATCGTCATGAGTATTCTCAGTATGTTTCTGTTTTTACGGATGGGTCAAAATCTCCAGGGCATGTTGGACGTGGAATCATTATAGCTGATCGAACATAAAGTTATATCCTACCTGCCATATGTTCTGTATTTACTGCCGAAGCTGTGGCCATTCTCATAGCTCTACGACTTATCTCATCACTGGCCGCACGAAAGTTTTGAATTTACTCTGACAGCCTAAGTGTTTTACGCCAGCTGAATAATCATGTTAACAACGAAGCTCACTCTATTTTATGTATCATTGAACATCTGTTAGTTAGTCTTCACAAAAGTGGTTTTAACATTTTATTTTGTTAGATTCCCAGCCATGTTGGTATTTCAGGTAATGACATGGCTGACTCTGCTGCCCGATCTGCTACGACTCCATTAACACTATCAGTCCCCATTTCTGACATGAAGAATTATATACGACAGTTTACTATGTCTTTGTGGCAGCAACACTGGGATTTACAAATTGAATCAAACTGCACACAATTAAATCCACGCTAGAGCCTTGGCCTGTGTTGCAATTGCGTGGAGCAGATGTCAAGCTCACCCGCCTACGTATAGGACATACTCGACTGACTCATCTTCACTTGCTGTTCGGAGAACCACCCCCTCGATGCGATACTTGTAACGTTTCACTTTCAATTCATCATATTTTAATCGCTTGCCCATGTTTTAACCAACAACGCCTCACCTTTTTTGGAAGCACGATTTTAAGATTATTGGAATTTTAAGTTGTATTTAATTGTTTCATACTATTTAGTGTTTTAGTAAATTTACCATGTAGTTTTATTGATTTTAATGTATGTAACTTTACAACATTGTTTTAGAATTTTCACTATCTTATCTGATTTTATACGTGTGCTGTATTAAACCTTTTAATCTGTTTTTAAAACCGTGTATTTGGCGCAGTATGTCCTTTTGTGGACCTTGTGCCACTAAACCCCACATTCAATTCAATTCAATTCCTCTCCATGTAACGCAAATGCCGGTTAGCTTCATGAAAAAGTCCTCCATGAAGGCAAATTTCTCCCAATATTCGATCCAGGAGTTCCCTTGGCTTCAAAATTCAAAGGCTACGGAGTTGAACATGTAGTATTAAGTTAAAAACATCTACTTATAGAAAATTTAGTGCATGCTCTTTAATTTTTATTTGTTTATTCTTTATTTCAAATTCATAATACTACAAGAGTGATCTTTTTCAGGTGGAGAAAAATACAGCAATTAGGTCTTAGTAGGCACTACAAAGAGCGAGATTCTCCAATTTGAAGATGATTGAGCTATTGTTTTGGTCTTACATATTTAAGCCCTGAAGATGTCGAAGTGGCAATTTTTTTTATTAATTGGGCATCAGACATCAGAAGTGATGGAATTTGCTGATTGTTTAGCAAAAAACTACATCGACGTAGATGATAACACGCCGTATCCTCCTTCCATGTGGGCAGCTGACTCTTGTGATCTGTGGCGAACAACTAATTCTTGTTAGAGTTTTCACAGCAGGATTAGTTCATTTTTTGAAGCAACAAACCCTAACATCTTTCTTTTTGTCAAAAACCTTAATTTAACACAAAGTGATACCTACATTAGAATTAACACTGCCGAGGGTTGTGAACCTCGAAAAATAACAAAAAAAAATAACTATTTATTAAGGAAAAAATTGCCGAGTTTAAAAACGGAAAAATAGGATATTTTAACATTTTAAATGTAGTGTCATATGAAACAAAAACAATTCAAAGAAAAATTTGAACAAAAATAGTTAAAATAAACTAAAGTTAAAAAGAAATTTGAACAAAAATAGTTAAAATATATTAAAGTAAGAAACCAAGGTTCTATTGATTCTACTTGAATTGAAGCATTTGCCTTAAAAACAAAATAGATATTTTTTAAATAAATACTAATTATTTTAATTTTTTGAAAAAGATAAAGTTTCCACAATTTTTTAATACCTTTCTGTAAATCATTTTAAAATCAGTTTCTACTTTTACTTTTTAAACTTATTTAAAAAACAAAATAAATGTTCTAAAAATTATGAAAAAATTAGAAAATGAAAAAAATTCGAAGGAGTGGAAAAATTAAGTTAGGGAGGAAAACGTAAAAAATAATGG